TTGATGCCTTTGAGCTGTGGTGCTGGAGAAGAGTATTGAATGTACCCTGGACTGCCAAGAAAACAAACAGATTCACGCTGGAGAGGGTTAAACCAAGCTACTCCTTGGAGGCAAGTATTCTGGGGCTTCGTCTGACATACTTTGGACATGTTGTAAGGAGGGACAGGTCCTTGGGCAGGGACATCATGCTTGGGAGGGTGGAGGGACAGCACAGAAGGGGAAGACCCTCTATGTGGTGGATTGATTCTGTGACTCGGGTAAATGGGATGGGTGTGTCAGAGGCAGTGCAATTGGCACAGGATAGAGCAGGGTTTAGGGCTGTTGTACATAGGGTTGCTATGAGCCGAAAACGACTTGATGAAACATAACAACATGGACAAATATTTGGTAAAATTAAACATTTGTGTCCACTTTTACAGCACAACTGGTATAACTGCTTTTTAAGGAATTTTTTGTCTTTTGGTTTTTGTCATATTTTCTTTTAGACTGTATACTCTATCATGGCACCATCAAACAGTTTTATAGCACCTAACAGTTATGGAATTTACATGGCCACTAATTTATTTACCTTCAATAAATTTTGTCACACAATAGAGAAAACATAAGTATAAGTCATAAATTAGAGAAGTGACATTTTGAAAGAGTTTGCTCTGGGGCCTGAACTTTGTCTTTTAACAAGTCCATAGCCTTTCTAATGTGCCTACTATTTCCTTTCATAGGGAGCCGTGATAGTGCATCATTATTAACTAAACATTTGGCACTTAGTGTACACAATGTCAAAAGAAAAAGAACAAAGTCAGAAAGGTAACAACTGAACTCAAAGACATCAGGTTGGAACTGACTTATAGCAGACCTTTCAGCAGGTTTTGGGAGGCTATTAATCTTATGCGAGATTGCCCATCTTTCTCCTAAGAAGCTGCTGGTGGATTTGAACCACCAGATGGGTGCTGCCTTTGACTTACTAGTGCAACTTGCTGTGGACTACTGAGGTGTTCAGAATCCTTGCAAATTGGCTTTTCTAGCCATTGTGTTAGCCCCCACT